TTGTAACTACCGTTATAGCTAAAAGATACATGCAATTTGTTCTTTAATGTTCTTATCAATCTTTCAACAATAGATGCTTTTTTTGTAGAGTAAGTCGAATAGTGCTTTATATTTAGTGACTGCATTAGTTCTTTAAATGATTCATTGTAAAATTCTGTTCCCATATCAGTTTGTAAGTGAACAGGAGATTGACCACTTGTTTTGAGAATTCTCTTAAACGCATTAACCACACATTTTCTCGATTTTGACTTTAAGGGAATACCCCATGCATATTTGCTAAAGCAATCAATAACAATTAAAATATATGTGTAACCACTGTTATATTTTTTTAAAGATTTAAAATCAATTAGATCTGCTTGCCATAGATCATTAATGCCTTTTAGTACAACAGATCTTCGAATAAAGTTTTTACGTGCAGACCTATGGATTTCTTTTACTACTTGGAGCTTGACCATTTTTTCTGTTGGTTACATTCTGTTCATTCAAGCTCTTAGTGTTAAACTTCTCTTCAAACTGTTTTATTTTGTTGGTGATATCAGCTTTTATTGATTCAATCCAAACATGCAGTTCATGCTTCGTGCACAAGGTTGCAATTTTTTCATCTACGTATTGTTTATTGACAGCGTCATCCTTTTCCAAAGGTGTGTTGACTCCAGTTAATCTAGATGATTGTAAATTAAAACACCCACTTTCTGATTTCATTAAAGAGTTTTCCCTAAAATCTAACAGTTCAGACAAACGTAGCCTTTTGTGGACATGATGCCCGAATTTATCAATATTCATTTTTATTAATTAGAGATCCGATGCAATCAAGGGAGAGTGTGTAAATAAAAAACAATAAACTATGACAACTATTTTATAATTCCGTTTTCACGTAATTCTTCAATAATAGAAATTATTTCATTTTCTACTCCAGTATTTCCTGCTTCTTTAGAAGCTATCAGTAATTTTAATCTTTCAACTAACTCATTAGGATCATCCCAATAAATATAATCAGTATATTTCTTAAACTTTTTCTTAAGTCTTAACCCTTCTCCTTCACTTAAATGTTCTGTTCTAGAAGAAACAGAAGATGTTGACGGTTTACGTAACTTAAACAGCGGTTTTATAATTTGCAAATACTTTCGACCTCGATTAGTTTTTATTGGTTTATTTGGATCATAATCTCTTCGATGAGCATTTGTTTCTAACAACAATGCTTTATATACTTGGGAATCTTTTTCTGTAACCAAATTTAATTCAGGAACTCTCTTGAACAAAAGTTCATATAATCCAGGAGTTTTCTTGTATACTCGACCTGCTACGGATATATTCTCCTCGTGAACTTCCACACGTGAGTTACCCATCAATAGTTTACCTCGTTCTCTTCTGACACCAAATGGCACATCCTCAAATACTTCCGAAGATAATGACCAAGACAAAGCATCTCGGTTAGGACTATGGACGGACTCGACTGTTGCAAACGATGTATCGCTTGTATTATTTTTATTTTGACCATCGAAACTGTTTTCATCAATATTGTCATCAGAATCGCTATCATGGGACTCGGATATGGAATCGTTACGTTTAAAATATGAGTCTGTATTCAAATTGTCTTCTTTAGGTACTTCATGGACTTTAGATTTGTTAGATTTTGAAGGATTTGTGTTATGATGAATTATTTGATGAAGTGGTTTAGTGATGGGTTGAAAAACTGTATTTAACATGTTTTCTTGATAAGATTCCCTCATACGCATTTCCTTCAGCTTCTTTTTAACACCTTCTGCAGCTCGAACAACCTCAGCTTTTAATTCCATTTCCATTTTGAAAGAACAGTAGCTTGAGTTATGCAACGTGTTGTATCTTATAGCTTTACTTCTTAAATGAATTGTGTTCTAGATTGAAAGTAACTTTATTTTGTTACTCATCGAAAGTAACGAAGGTGTCGAAGTTCATTCTGTAGCAACCGTCATTCTTTGCACAATCTTTATTAATAACTAAAAAGTTGTATGTATCTTTCCAAATTTTTGAACACATTTCCCGAAATTCTGACCACGACATATCTGTATTCACATGTTCATCATATACATGTCGTAAATTTATATCGTCTTGTTTAAATAATATTATAAGGTTTGCATTGTCTCTTACTAGTTGTTTTGGTATTTTACTATATGTTTGGTTTAAGTAAAAACAATCAATAAATTTATGTCTGCCCATAGCGAAATAATCTCGCATATTAGTTTGATTCTCACAAGCAACATCATCAAAAATTATTACAGAATGGGGCTTAGCATCATGTGGACTGAGAATCAATTCATTATCACTGTATTTTGCAAACGTAACACTAGGTAGCAATTTAAAGACGTTCTCTAAATAAATGTACTTAGTTTGATACAGTGTTTTTGAGTATAAATATACATTCTTAAAATGTAATCCATTTTCATGCAACAGAAGACCTATTATTAAATTTGTTTTTCCACAGTTTGATGGACCGCAAACTAAACACCGAACTGAATTAGGAAGCAAGTTTCCATGTCGAGAAATAACTGTCTCAGTATCTGAACAAATTCTATCCAATTGCAACGTTTCAGATTGTTTTATAAATTTCATAGTAGTAAGCAATTCTTTCGGGTGTCCTAGATAAAGTGAGTCAATTTGTACAAATTTGACTATTTATATAAAGTGCGAGTAATCAGAAACATTTTATGGATTTTCGTCAAAAAACCGTCATCAAATGAATGTAATATCTATTTGTAATATTGGGCATACTGTCATTCCATGAGTGAGTGGCGGCAAAACGTCGACACGAACGAGTGGGGGACAGAATGCCCAATATTACCCTACTTACGTATTTTGCGAAATAAACGTCTTATGAGATAAACGATACTTACATCAATATATTGGTTCAATGCTGACTGGCAAGCGTGAAGTTGCTCCGATATCGAGTCCAGCATCGGCTGCAGCCTGGTTGATTGCAACAGCGCTGAGAGTCTCGAGTCACCCTCTATCATCCGCGCCACTTGCCGGAATGCTTGATCTACCTTGCGAAACTTGGTCCCGAGCTCCCCATCGTCGTTGCATAAAATCGGCTCCAAGTATAGCCACCTGACAAGATTCTAATATTAGTATCTTGTAAACTAGGCATAATGACATTAATGACAAAGAGAACAGTACAGAAAAATTAAAGATCGAAATAAGATAAATAGAGAATATAGCATATTGCTCAAAATACATCATCAAAATTAATATTATATTTATTAATATTAATATTACATATGAAATTGGGATTTTGTCGTAATGGCCACTTTAATCACTTTCTCCTTCTTGGTTGGGAATTCCAAATTCAAATTTATACAGCCATTTACACATGTATTTTTGTTTCGTTAGGAGGCATTCATTTGTTTCTTTTTAATTCTGTTTGTCTTATTTAAGTCACCCAGTATAAAAAATGGAAAACTTGAAATATCGTGTTATTTCCGAGTACGAGTTCCACCGTGGTACCAGTGCTGCGGAAACGGCTCGAAGGGTTAATGATGTGTATGGCGGTTGTGTCGCAAAAGAAAACAGTGCGTTTTTGGTTCCAACGTTTTCGTTCTAGAAATTTCGACCTGCAGAACAAACCCCGTGGACGGCCGGAGATCCAAGTTAATAATGAAGAATTGAAAGATATTGTGGAAAAGTATCCATTGCAAACCACGTCCGAATTAGCTGCAGGCTGCCGTGTTAGTGATAAAACTGTTTTAATCTACTTGAAGCAAATTGAAAAAATTAAAAAGTTTGAAAGGTGGGGTACCTCACAAATTGAGTGAAGCAAACCGGCAAACGCGCTTCGACTGCTGCGTTACATTACTTAACCGGCACAGTAATGAAGGGTTTTTAAATCGAATCTTTACCTGTGATGAAAAGTGGACCGTTCACCGCAGTGGTTGGACCCTGGCATGCCAGCCAAATCCTGCCCCAAGCGAAAATTGACCACAAAAAAGTTACTTGTAAGCTTTTGGTGAACTAGTGCCGGTGTCGTTCATTACAATTTTGTCAAATATGACCAGACGATTACGGCAGACGTCTATTGTCAGCAATTGCAAACCATGCAGGAAAAGCTAGCTGACAACAACCGAGGCTGGTCATTCGCTCTACGCCACTGCTACTTCACGACAACGCTAGACCACATACTGCACAACAGACGTCTTACAAATTAAAAGAGCTTCAATTGGAGTATCTAAGATATCCACCGTACTCCCTGGACCTTGCTCCAACAGATAACATTTTTTTTCGAAATTTGGATAACAGTGCAAATCGCTTTCAAAGATTTTAATGATTAACTTCCGAATGGTTTTTTTAGTAAGGCGATCAATTAACTACCTTTGAGATGGCAAAAGTGCATAGATGACAATGGTTTATACTTTGATTAAATAAATATATTATATTAAAAAATATTCGACTTTTTATTTCTCCCATACCAAACACCAATTTCATATGCAAGAACCTAATATTAGTATATAGTTTACGAGTCTAACCTGCGTTGCGCGTGCGCAGCTGCCCGTACGCAGTTACGAGCGGTCCGCAGGCGCGAATCCCACGCCGCACACGCGTCCCCACCACTGGACACTGATGACACCACCCATTGCTGCTCCTCAATCTATATGAAAAGCGACTCCTGTCAGATTACATATTATTTATGATTCCGTACAAAAAAAAATTTATCTCATATATTGTATAGGATCACCCGTGTCTTAGTCTGTATGTCACAGTTAATTTTCTCTGATCGAGTTGAGAGATACATATAACAAGATAATATAATTTCAAGATAAAAGTTTTGAAGTTATTTAAAATTGCCTGGTATAAATCGCTATCAACTGATAAAGACGCCTATTGTACGATATTTGTGTATTTCTTGTCGTAAATGTATCCCCTTTTCTATTGTGCAATGAAGAGTACCAATTATTATATGTATACAATGTTTAAGTGGAGAGATACAGAAGTCGATGGAAACCAAAATTCAGATTAATATGCTCATAAAGTTATGCGTGAAAATTCTTTCCGCCCATTCATATAAAGGATTTCGGTGTAAATATAGTAGTTACAATTAACAATATTAAAAACGTATTTTTTTTATTTTTTGCTTAATCAATACATTACGACGATAAATTGACTTGAAATATCGCATGACGTTACACCTTTGTACATTTTCTACAAAGTTGTGACATCGAGCCGTCACTCCTCAACTATAATGCCTATTATATTTTCCCTATAGAATGAATGGTTATGAACGGGGTAGTTTGCACAAAAACTAAAATTTTCATCGTAATAAACATAAAGAATTTGATTTTGAGTCTTAAAATCGCACTTATTATCTCAAAATTAAAAGACGTGATTTTTTGTGTGTGTCACGAGACTAGAAACACGACCCGCCATTGTGTGACGTCACTTTGACGACGGCTGTCAAATTGGTCATAAAGATATATCTATTAATTATAAATCAAATTCCTGTTGCTGTTCTTGGCTTATTTATTTCTTTTTATTTTGTAATCGATCGTTAGATGGCATTGTTATTTTTTTATTGACATGTTTTAATCTTCTACTTTGCATCTGTTTTTGTACATATCACAATGACGTCATGAATATGACGGACAGCGGTTTAAAAGGTAAAAAAAGAGTTTAAATTTTTGTTTCATTTGAAGGCAACTAAACGTGATTTTTTCATGTTTCAAATATTTGTTTTTTTTTTAATTAAAATAAACAGTTACAATTTTTTTTCAAATAGAGTACCCTATTCTTCATACCTTGCTAAGAATATCCTTAAAGTCTTTGACGATGGGTACGGGACGTTTCGCCTTGTCGTTGTAGTATGTGATGTTGAGCCGCGCGCCCGCGAACCATAACTCTAGTTCGTTCACCGCATTTCTAACAGCCGCCTCATTAGATGCCGCTGTGCATATTTTCTATGAAAATCATACGATGCTATAAGTAAAACTTACGAAAAGAAACATTTTAATAGAGTCATTTTCCGACACTACCGATTGCTGAAATACATTTGAAATAGATATAACGTCGATACAATCTGTAAAATTAATGTGATTGCTGTTTACTTCTACTATGTATGTTCTATAGTTTGCACAATCTATTAAATGAACAAAAATAATTACTAATAATAAGTACCTGCAGCTGTTTGATTTGCTTCTTGATATTATTAGCGACTGCAAGTAAATCCTTAACTTGTAAAGTATCTGGCTTCTTGTATTCCATATCGAGAAGACTAAAAACTTCTCGCCAGTGTTTCTCGGTGAAATCAGTCCCGCGCAAGTATTTTAACATGGTTGATAAATCCTATATACCAGAAAATAATAAATATACCAATCTAATTAATGACGAAGTTAACAGTATTTAGTATTTTTTTATTTCATTCAAAATAAAGATCTTTATATTATTATTACTGCTATCCTATACGACAATAATTACAATCAGATCTTATGAGATCGACACCACAGTGAACACCCATTTACAATTAAACAGCATACAGATGAAAAAAGATTCTCAGTTAAATACGTCGACTTACAGTGTATTTTTCAAGCTCTTGTTGTAAGTAAAGGGTAACTACTGTATATGGCTGCAAGTTGTTCATCCATTTGGAAACAAATTCATCGAGCAAATGCAACTTTTTTTGAAATACAATCCAATCTTGTTCAATGATTGATTCATATTCTAAAACAAAAATATTTGTATTATAAAATAGTAAAATCCATACATATAATCATTTGTCCTACTATTAACAATTTATATCATATATTAACATTTATATATCTATTAACATTTATATCAACAGTTTATATCATATATAAAACAATTGTTCATAATATTCGTTTTCGTTACGTAATTGGTCTGTTCAAACGGGTAACGATGAAAATGATTATTACATTTAAACATTATCAAAGAAATTGATATGAAATATATCCGGTGGTCAGAAAAAATAAACCTGTTTTCTCATGACAAAAAAAAAATATAGCGCATTGCATGCCATTCAGATAGGCCCGATTTCTTTCTTCAATGTATAAATAGTTAATAAACACACAATTTCATTCACACAGTCTTTAATTACAAAAATCAATTATACAAACTAATATCAATTAATAAAAAAATTACAAAGGGGAAAGTGATACCCTATGAACAGACCAAAAAAATGTCCAGTCTTTTAAATACATAATACATAACTTGAAAATATAACAAAATACATATTATATAATTTGAAATGTTGTTGGAAGATCTCACCTTCATTGAAGTCTTTCATGGGATTCCAAATACCTGTATATTCCTTCAAGAGCTTTTCTGCTTCCTTCCAAACATCAGAGGGTTGTAATTGCAAATTAAATTTCTCACATTCCGTCCTAATAAACATATATTTAATATCAAAAATAAGAAACTTTCTATTTAACATTTTAAACAATATAAATAATGAATGAAGCATACATCAATTCATCCCGATCTGCAATAAATTTTTCCCATTGCGTGTTAGCATCGAACACAGAGCGACATCTGTCGGCCATCTCCGAATACAGAACTCCATGTGTCTCTTCCAATCGGCTCTTATTTTGACTCCACCTCGATGTCCATGCTTCTATGTTAGAGTTCAAATTTTCCCATTCGCCATTTAAAGTAGATTTCACAATTTCAGCCTACAAGAAAAAATAATAAATATTCGAATCCTCAACAGATTACGCTGAAATGCTGTATACATATTACGCTCAACTACCGCTCATTGAGCAAAAACATAGCTCACAACTCGAACTTCGTGTTATTGCTCTAATAAAAACACAACGCTTTGTGGCAATCACAGAAAGACCACATAGCGAAATTCATGTCACGGGTGACATGCTATTCGATCTCAACGAGTAGCAATGACGGAAAGCCATAAATAAACCATTTAGTTTTCAATAATTTTCACTTAACGACTGGATTTTTAAATAAAATTAATACCAAAAGAAAAAAAAAATATTTTTATGTCATGATATTTCATATTATAGTTAATAATGCCAAATACGTAAAGCAGTGATTTCAATATTTTTGCATTAAAGCATTTATACATGTTCTACGCGATAAAAAATATTTCCTAAGGACATCTACCATAACATTTGCGACTAGTCATTATCAACATCATCGCAAAGCATTGTGCGTCTTAATTAAATATGGTTCCAAACGCTTCATGGCTTTTCTTCATTATCACAAAGCGATGAAGTTGAATAGCATGTCAGCTATGACACGAATTACACTATGTGATTTGACAACACGTTGTGAGTGTTTTTACGAATTTCGTGTCGTGGCTAAAAAAATAGCTTACAACGCGTGGTCTCGGTCTTTGAGCGTAAAATCTAGATTTATTTTAGATGGCAATAATCGGATAGCTAAGTTGCAATATGATGGACCCGAGATGGATTATTAGCACTGTCTATAAAGTGGGTATCAAATGAAATGGTTTGCTAAGAAGATTATGATAAAATAACAAAAGAGAAAAAGTTTTTTAAAACAACTTTTTTGAAAATATATATAAAAACTAAGTTTTCACCTGGTGGTCAAACATTTGCTGCTGACTCAGCATTAAGTCGTGGACTTTTTGGAATTCTTTTATAACACCTGCAGTAGTTGAGTCTCCACCCCAAGTGCGAAGCATATGGGTCTTACGTTTAAGATTTTCCACAGTTTTCTCCATCTATAAAGGCGAAATAACAACTAACGTACAAGTGTGGTAGTTTCGTCGACATTTATTTACGAGTCTACTGCATGCGGTTGGTGCATTTTATTTATTAAAATAAAATACGTATACATATTTTATGTAGATATAAATTTAACCCCTCACGGTCCACTTTTTGCAGGGCGTAGATATGCTTGTCCCTGCAAAGGTGATGGTGAACTTTCTTACTTTTGCTGACAATTTAAAATTAACTTGGAATTTGGCTGACATGATCAAATTGAAGAACCCCTAATGTGTAAGCCATAAGATACGATTTCGACAAATAATAGGTAGTTAGTGATCATAGGAAGGAGAGGGTTTTTGTTTACCTCAGGCATGTTCTTCTGCAACACCTGTTGCTTAGCACTAATTTCGGCCAAGTCTTTGGCATTCTTGGGCATAGCTTTGTTCTCGAGCATGACTCTAGCGCTAGCAATGAAGGCGTCTAACGCGAGCGCATCAGTTCTGCAACTGTTCTGTAGTGATGACATGAGACACGCCCATAGATTACGAGTCTGTGCTTCAAATTCGCGTCTTAGACCGACAGTTCCTACGGTTATCCATTCTATTTTCTCATCCTCACTAAAATTAATATTCGAAAAAAAAATGTGTTATTAAAATTGCTATTTTCAGCATTTGTGTAGAAATTTGAAATTTTAATATTTTATGAATTAAAATTTTGCAACGTCTGCATGCATTTGTAATATAATCTTTTTGTTGAATAGCATTTCAAGTACAAATTTAAATACGATAGTGGGCAAAACTATACAATAGGTTAATGAGTCTTAGAATTCTTTGATATTTCTTCACAAATATTATAAAGAGAAAAATACATGGTTATTCCTTTGCATTGTTCGCATTTTGGGTCAGAAACGACTGGGCCGATTTTAAAAATTCTTTTACATATGGGTAGCTAAATCATACGCTGGTGAAATATGCTAAAACAGTGTTAATTAAACTTACAAGGTCATTTTCGCAACGGCTTGTCCATAGGCCTTGCAAGCTTTGAAATTCGCTTCCCAATCAGCGGGTTCTTTCAAATTGTCAGCACACAGCGCTTCAACATCGATGCATGACAGCGCCGCCCGTTGCGTCCACGACACCCGCGTACGCTCCAGCGCTGACAGAGCGGCTTCCAGCTGCTGCACCGCTTTATTACCTAACCAGCTGTGTCTGAGTATGCAAGGTGTAATATTAAAGACGGTCAATATGGGAAAGTCTGAAACTATAAGGCATACGAAAATCTACTCTTAGTAACCATACATCGTTCCTATATATATTATTTATGAAAAGAGATGCTGCATTAATAGATTCTAAAAGAACTTGATCTCAATTCCGACTATTATCAAAGTTAACAAAACAACTATATCTATTATCAAACAGCTGCTTTACCACGTAGCTAAAGTCCGGATTGGTCTGTCAACATTAAAGTAAAAACCCTTTCTGCCTCCACCTGACCAAACTTAAACTTTAAGAAATTAATTATGTATACATATGAGTACGAATACGTATGTGTCAATAAATGTATGAATATAATATAAATATATATGTACGTTTATTTATTTTTTTCAGTGTTAGGCTTGCTTGCCATACATTTCTCGATGCATCTTTTAAACTCGATTCCTTTCGTTCTTGTTGTCGAGTTGAATTTACAACTTCAGTCTTGTTTATATTTATTTCACTGGTTAAAAAATTATTGTCATAATATTTTAGGTACCTGTGTACATTTGTATTGGCCTCTTGATGTTTTAAGAACCGATTAAATGAAATAAAATCTGTCAGGCTCACCGATCAACTTTTAGCAAATCGATCAGGGTCAATCTGAGAATTACCTACCAATCCCGAAGATCTACAGACAGTTTATATGTTAGAGAATCAAGGCTTCAGTTACGCGGTAGAGCCACAGTACGGACAAACGTAGGCGATGGCGTTATTACCGGTTACTTGCGGTGTGGTGAACTGGGAACTCAAAGCTAAAGGCTAATATAAATATAAGAAACGGTGCCGGTACAAGCATTTCTTATGATGTAATATAAAAACAATCAATCATAGATTCGAACACGAATTCGCTAAAAAAATATAATAAAAAAAAACAAAGTTTATTTTTAATGCAGAAACTTAAGGCCCTCTTTGTACCACCGCTTACGTTCCTATACAAATACGCATCGATAATAAAGACGCACTCGCTTGATTTCATACATTTTAATTATAGAAAAAATAAATGCAGTTATATAAAAAAAAATGTAATCAAAAGAATACATCGAAACCTATTTTTGTATACATTTTTTATATAGTTAAGATAAAACACACTGTAGTCCGTTTCACATAACATGGGTACGGTGACGTTTGTTATCAAACCCATTTCACGCAATTTGTATTTCCAAATAATTAAAAATCATCGTTATAAAAAATTGTTTGAGTGTATTATTACATATTAATTTAAATTTTCATATTAAAAGACATATAAATATTTAATTACCATATTTAAATATAACCCTCTAAAGTTTAAAACATCAATACTTGTATCGAAAATTGGAAGTTTTTTTAATAGGGATTGAATCAATAAAATCGCTTTACTCAAAATATGTACTCCGTAATCATATGTAAAATTTTAAATTATTGTTGTCGTAACAATTTAACTTATCAAGAAGACCCCGACTCAGAAAAATACAAATCTTTATTATAGTTAATAATGCAGTTTTGTATTTTTCTGACTCGGGTTCATCTTGTTGATAAATAAATATATTTCTTAAATCTTGTTTTATATATTGATCTCGAAATCAATTATCGCTATTAGAAATGAACTTATATTGAGTTTTTGTATCTATATATTTTTTATTACCACAACACTAAAAACTTCAAATCCCAAACGTCACCGTACCCATGCTATGTCAAAAAATCGAGTCGTAAATCGATCCAAAAAACCTATTTAAAGTTATATTTACGATTTTTTTTATCGCGCCATTTATTAAAGTTTATATTTCTGTTTTTATGCAAGCAATCGGTAATGTGTTTAATTCTCATAAAATGATTTTTATTTGTCAAATTTTAGTATAGCCTTAGAATAAAATTGGTTTAAAAACAACCTCGCCCCAATAATGTATAATGTTGGTTACTTGTGTACTATGTCGAGGAATCGCTCGTTCGCGCCCGCTTGTGTACAGAGCGTGGGCATGTGCGCGGGCAACGCTACCAGCCGCCGCAGCTGCAAGTAGTGCTGAGAGCGGATCACCTCCATCGCTGGCTGTACACCCACCGCTCTACCTCTGTTAAGATAATAAACACGTGTGTAGACAGTAATGCAACTGTCATATAAAAAGGGATATTAAAACACGAGAGTCCGTTTATCGATAATAGGTTGACTCGAGTGTTTTAATAACTAAGTTACTCATAAGAAAAATTTAAATTAAACAAAGTAGGTAGGTTACAAGGAAGTTTTTTCACAGTTCGAACTGCGCATGCGTGCGCTTTTCATATTCATTCATATTCAGCCTAAAACCATACACTAGTTTAATTAATAAAATAAGATAGCGGTACTATAATGAGTTTTAATTTTATGTATATGCGTTTATAAAGTGCGTATGTATAGAATAGTCTTTGAATTCGTAATTCTAATTTTTCGATTTGAGTGTAGATAAAGACAGTTATTATACGAGGGTCAAACTGAAAGTTCTTAGAAAATCAAAAACTGATTACATTAGCCAGTTATTAGTTTTATTATATCTTTTCAAAATATTGTCCATTCACGTCAATACACCGCTGCATGCGATGGAACCACTGGGAAAAGCACTTTGCCCACTCGTCCTTAGGGGTCTCTTCAATGGCATCGCGATACGCAGCCACCGCTTCTTCAGCATTCATAAACCGCTTTCCTTTAAGTTTTTCTTTAATTTTTGGAAATAAATAAAAATCACAAGGCGCGAGGTCGGGGCTATACGGCGGGTGACCCAGTAATTCAACGTTTGATGTCGCCAAATAGTCGATCGTTCGCTTGGCGGTGTGCGACGAGGCGTTGTCGTGGTGAAGGAGGATCCTACTGCGAGGTCGTTTCTCTCGAACTTTTTCCAAGACAAGTGGCAAACAATTGGTAGTGTACCATTCTGCAGAAACTGTTTTTTGATCCTCTAACACAATTGTTGCAAAATGACCTATCCTTCCAAAGAACGAGGCCACCATTTTTTTTCCCGCACTTCGATCTCTCTTCACTTTAGTTGGCAACTCCTCGAAAGGAAACACCCACTGAGCAGATTGTCTTTTGGTTTTAGGATCATAACAGTAAATCCAGCTTTCGTCACCTGTTAGTATGTTGAACACAGCATTTGAGTCACCTCCGTTAAATCTTTCAATCATTTTACGACACCAATCCACACGATGGAGTTTTTGAGCCTCAGTCAAATTATGAGGTATCCACCGGGCGCAAAGCTTCCTGACCGCTAAATGTTCGTGGAGGATTTTGTGCACTTGACTCATACCGATGCCTAAGCTTGTCCGAATCTGTTGATAGGTCACTCTTTTGTCAGTCTCTATCATACGCCGCACAACACAGATGTTATCTTCAGTCGTCGCCGTAGAAGGCCGTCCCTCACGTAAATCATCAGTGAGATTAGTGCGACCACGTTTAAACTCATTAAACCAGTTGTAAACAGTCGCACGAGATGGGGCTTCATCGTGAAAGGCCAATCGTAGTCTATCATAACTTTCTTGTTGACTTAAATGACATCGAAAGTCATAAAAAATCATTGCACGAAAATTTTCTCGTGTTAAATTCATGATGACGTGACACAGACAATTTTCAATTTGCCGCCAAATCGTAAAACAAATGACAAATGAATGAAATATATACTCAGTAATATTGGCAAAGAGTTATATTTTCAAATTTTAGAATTATTTTTTTATTATATTGTTTATAAGTGGCCAGTTCTAAGAACTTTCAGTTTGGCCCTCGTATTTATAATATTGCTTAAATTGATTATGAAAAAACTAATATTTCATACTCCTTGTCACGTGACCGCAAACAGCGCGTGACATCACTCCCATCTTAATTTAACCTAATGTACACATAGAACAATATTAGTCCGAGAGGCGAGACGTCATAGTCATGATATAAGTTTGCGTTTTCGCGAGAAATTTTAAAAATTTAAATTGATTATTATATTTTTAACTTATTAAACTAATAATACTTTTTTATATGTTTCATATATATCAATAAAAAAAGTTGTACCCCTATTATTTCAAGCTAGATGTTAAAGTAAATGTTAAGTTGCAGCTGGAAAGAAGAACTATAAAGGCGCATCTAGACGAGCGCGAAAACTTTCGTGCTGCCATATTGCGATGTTCACGTGCTTACCGCGTATCAGTGTCGATTCATATCGAAGGCAGTCGATTCCTCGGGACAGTCGAGGAAAAACAAAAATAGGAATGTCATGTGCTAGGCGCGTACGAGTACGTTAAGACAGTTTATTTTTTTACTACTAAATTCTTGAAAACGGAACCCGACGGGGTAAAAATCAGATAAAGTTTAATGTGGAATATCACAATTTTATTCTTTTTTACTATCGAGAAATGACAGCAAGAAAATTTTTAACTTAATTCAGCGTCTGTTATGACAGCAAGAAAATTACACAAATAGCAGCAACTGCCATACTGTTGCAATTACCTCAAGGAGACAAATAATTCATATTTTATTTATTAATATCATTACAACTAATTATTTCAGAATATTCAATCAATTTTCACTTTTATTTATCACGATACTACTAAACAAAACTTACCTAAACACTAAATCCACTTTGACATGCGGGAAATGCTTGTGCAGTGACAGCAATGTTTTTATGTATTGGCATTCTAGAGCTTTGTATAACTGCCAATCCCAGTGTAACCGCCACGAATCTGTATTTTTGTAACCATTTGCTTCCACCTACAAAGATTAAATTCATAATAATTAAATATGAATGCGCAAAACATCACTAAATGAAAACAAAAAATTGAAATAAGAGACCGGTCAAGTGCGAGTCGGACTCGCGCACGTACGGTACCGTATCGGAAACAAGCCAAAAATCATGTTTGTTGTATATGAGACCCCTTATATATTTATTTTATTCTGATATTTGTTGTTCAAGCGGCATCAGAAATACACATCTGTGTAATTTTCAACTATCTAACTTTCACTTTTCATGAGATACTGCCTGGCGACAGACATACAGCGACGACTTAGTAATAGGGTTCCCTTTTTACCCTTTGTTTACGCAACTCTAAAAAGGCTACTTGACATATGTTATGGGAAAATGATATTTCACGCGTGACGTCACATTTCAATATTCATGAGTATTTATTGGTTGCAGACGCAACTCAGACGTTGACGTTTAGTTAATTGAAATGTAACGTCACACGATGCTCTGCCATGGCCGTCCGCGTTTCGGTTCTTGTAATCCACAAATTATACATAGCAAGTTAGCTTTGCGAAAATAAAATATACTTAAAGTTTATTTTAAAACAAATATACTACATATTTATTGTTTTTTAATTATGATTGCAACTGTTTAGTAGCCATTAAATTCTGGTTATAATTATATTATAATGAACAAAGGTATTTTTTTTTTTAATAAAA